TCTAAGCCCACGCATCCCAATTTTATGAACATATTACTCAAAAGTGGATGTGGGCAGAAATTTAGTGAGCATATCTGCAAGATTGTTCACTGAGGCAAACTTTCTCAACAAGAATTTTACCACTCTTCTGGAGTTCATGTGTGTAGAAGGACTTAGGTGCAATATGTTTTGTAAGGTTCCCCTTAACAAACCTATAACTTGCTTGTGGAACACAATCTTATTTATCCTCATATGGGACATTGGGAGGGTAAAACATAGCATAACTAGTTTGGGACTTGGCATCATAGGGATCAAATAAAAGAGTCAGTACCTAAGTAGCCCATCAAAACCACATATTGGTTTCTCACATAAACGTCAAAATCTTTATACCTCGAAAATGTTGGAGGATATGTTAAACATAATTCCAATATTTCATTGTAGATGGAGCACTAAACGTTGCTAGCAATTTCATCGCAAATTTAATATCAGGCCTGATGCGACTATAGAACTTCTAGTTCTATAATAGTGCTCCAATAACAATGAAGTAATAGACTTTCAGTCCCTAAATATCCTCATCATCATATTCAAGTCTAAATGGTCTTTTATCTACTTCAAGAGATTATTGGACAACTATTTGTGTGATAAGTAAATAATACTTATCCATATAAAACATCTTCAAGATATTTTTCAAGTAGTCTAACTGGTGTATAAAACTTCTTCAAGGAGAAGCTCGATCTTTAGGTTGAAACAATACTTGGATTTCCAAGTCTTTTATTTCAAAACTCCGTCTTTCGGCATGAGCTGATATCATCAAACTCTCTATGTGTTTCAATGATATTTAAACCATCAATATCGACTGAGATGATAAATAAATAACTCCATTAGCAATCGTTAACGAACACATAATGATACATATTATTTGCATATTCCTTCTTCGGGATGAAAACACTCCGTCAATAATATTCAAGCCATACAAAGACTTTATAATATTCAATAATTGTTCAAGCCATACACATTGTGATTTTCACTTTCCTCATTTCGAAAGTATTGAATCCATCAGGGATTTACAAATAAATATTAACATCTAATGACCCATAAGTTTGCGGTCATGACGTTCATCAACTGCATATCTAAATTTATAATTCATTGCCAATGATGTTAATTAGCGGAACGTAATGCCATATGTTGTGAGAGAGAATATTTGATCAAAATCAATTTAGGGTCTCTGCATAAACCCTTAAGCTACCAGTCTCGCTTTATATCATACCACCATATTGTTTGTATTTCTCTTTTGTGCAAACACCCATTTGTAACCTTCAAGGTTAACATTAATTAAATGGTATACATGTTATAAAGAGAATACAGTTTTAGCGAGCTGAGCTGTATATGCCTCAATTGTTCATTTATACATTAAAAAAAATCAGGGCACTACCGGTGCCTAGCTCTGGATCCAAATTCTCATATATTGAGCAATTTATAAGGCAATTGTGTTGTCGACAACTATAACATATTCCATAAATTTCTCTCATAAAATAATGGCGATTTCTATTTCAACCAGACTCTAGCCATTTTCCAAAGATATTTTTATCTGGTCGTTTCGCATCCCCAGTATTATGATTTTGGGTGCACCTATAAATTTACTGGGGATTTTCGCCTTTTGGACGAATGTCTTCAGGACATACTTCTTTAAACGATTTCAAGAGTGACGAAATTTTCTACTAGCTTTAGCTTTCCGCGGATTCTTGTCTTTTATACCAACATGTCTCCACGCTTCTGGCGTCAATGAGCATTGGTAAATACATACGGTCCAAGTTGGGGAAGATATATGGGACCTAATCACTCTTTTTATCAGTATATATATTGGCAGATTAATTATCTTCTGAACTTCCAGTTCAGTTTACTTCTTATGAACTTCTAGTTAATTTTCTTTATTTAGAGTTGTTTTTTTTTTTTTTTTGGAAAAAGAAACTTAATGCATTAACTCATAAAGAATACAATCAGCAAGATAAAGGGGTGGCTCATCAAACCACTCCCCGCAACCTGACACAAAAACTGCCTCCCGAGCAACATTGTAGGCAGCACGATTCGCAGATCGCCTAACGAAACAGAAATCGACACCATCAATAGTGGATACCACTTCTTTAACATCATCAATAACTAAACCAAAAGCAGAATAAAAAGAATTTGAACGTAGAGCATAATAAACCAACTGGGAATCAGTTTCAACATCCACATCTCCCAGACCAGTGCCCTTCAACCAGCTTAGGGCTTCCCGCACACAAACTGCCTCTGCAACCTCCACCGCATATCTCCCAGGCATGTTTACTCCTTTAGCAGCCAAAAAAGAGCCACCATGATCTCTTAAAACCCACCCCATGCCCATCGTATTCCCTTCCCCATCAAATGCTGCGTCCGTGTTCAGCTTTAAACGCCCCACAACAGGAGCCCTCCATCCTGAATCCAGCCCATCACCACGGCCAACAGCAGCCCCCAAGTCCATCTCATTTGCCCCTCTCCAGTTTCTCCAAAATGATAGGGCCGAGTCCACCATATCCCTGGAATCAAAAGCCTTTGCACTCCACACCTAGCGATTTCTGCTCCCCCACACACCCCATAACAGCATTACAAACATACACTTTAGCTCATCATTCAACTTTGCCAACAAGTCAAAAAACCAACAGCTCTTTATTTAGAGTTGTTAAATCTTCCTAGATTGGTGGTTATGATTAGTTTGTAGTCTTCTATTGTAATCACACTGGAATTGAGTGTGATGTGAGTGCTCCACATAGCTGTGTGGACCACGATCCAAAAACAACATCGTTTTGCTTAATTTTATTTTTTTGCATGTCTAGCTGCAACATACATTTTATAACTCATAATGTACATTATTTTAAAACATAATGTACACTATGTTACTCAAATGTTTCATTATTCTAACACGTAATGTATATTATTCTAACACATAATGTACATTATTCTAACACATAATGTACATTATTTTTACTCATAATATTCTACACAATAAGTTGTCCATTGTGATTCATCCATTCACTATCTTTTCGGGCCGGGGTGTGAGGCAATGAGGATCCTAGGGTGTAAATTTCGTTTTTTTTTTTTTTTTGAACAAGAAATAATGCTATTCCATACCACTATATTAAGTAATCAATTTGACATTATTGTGCAAAATATAATTAAGGAGCATATAAAGACGAGAGCTATAAAGAATTTTATTATATTAAAAAATGTTTCATACAAATTAAAATGAGCTTAAAATTTAACAGTCAATTTATATTAATAGTGGAATTTTAAATTTTAAATTTTCAATCTAATTTTCGTTATAGTTTTTTAATAATTAAAATTTTAAAATATATTTTTTGACATGAGTTTTAAAATATTTGACTTAGTTTATTTAAATAAAAAAATACTAACAAAATATAAAACAAATACAATTTTCTATAACTCCAAATTTAATATGCTTCTTAATAAATTTGAAACAACAATGCCAAATTGATCACTTAGTATAATGGAATGAAATGACATTATTCTAGTGGGAGGTTAAGGTTTAAAACTTGCTAAGGGTGTGTTTAGTTGTTCTTTGTTTTGAAATTAATTATTATTAATGCCAATGTTGAAAAAATCGCTAGGCGCTCTCTAGGCGTCTGGGGACCGCCTAGAACACCTAGCGTTAGGCGCCTAGTCGCGATTTTTGCAACACTTATTAATGCATTGATTAATTAAATTAATTACTTTTAAATAAATTTGAGGATTTTGTTAACGTGGCATGATGAGATTAACACTACACCATCAAAGTCAACAATCAATTTTAACGGTGTTAATTATTGTTCTTCATTACACAATTTTTAAAAGTACAAGGATTAAACTATACAAAATTAAGGTATACGATATCATAAGGTAATTAATGCCAAAATTAAGGATTTTTTTTAAAATTCAACGGCATAACTTTACTGCCAATTAGCGTCGTTGACCTTCGTTTTTCAACGTTCAAATTCATTAATGCCCTACTTTGAATTCTATTTTCACTCGTTTTACTACCATCAATGTTCAAACTAGCCACACGGAAGGGCACTACTCAAGAAATGTTAGGTATGCTGGGAATTGAGTGTTAACAATGATTGAAAGCAAAGAAGGAAGTCGATAAAGGTAAAATTTAGTGATTCCGATGATCTGTTTAAGTAACGTCTTGATAATCAATTATCACTTTAATATATTGAATTACTCGGATCAAATGATATCAAGTCAATATTGATAATTTATAAGACAAAAAAGCATTATTACTCTTTTAAAAAGTTAAGGTGATGGATATAATTTAACTTTCCATGAAGTATTGCCAAATAATTGGTTGGAACTTGGAAGGAATAAATGCAAATATGTGATAAAAATTAAAATTATGAGGCAGAAGTGATAAAAAAAAATTAAAAAAAATACTCCACCCGTAATCCGTCCATGATTCGGCTAACGAGATTTGATTGGAGTTATTTTTAATCTAATTTTTATAATATTAAGTTTATCATTACTATACAAAATTTATATATTTAGAAACTACACTAAAAGTACTATTAAACACAAAAAATTAAATTTAAAAATAAATAAAAATATTAAAAAATAAATAAATAAGGAAGGAATGAAAAGTTGATTTGACCAATAAAGAATATGTAGGATAGCTAAAATGGAAGAGAGAGTAAAAAAAGGAAAATACTTGGTGTACTCCCATTTTAAATTCCCAACTTGTACTCCCTCTCACATGTTCTTGATGTAGACATTTTTTTTGGACCCAAAAATAACCAATCTTGGATTGCCACTTAGGAAGTATAAATGAGGGAGTAGAATTTTGGGAGTCTATATAGTAAAACTCCTAAAAAAAATATCCTATTGGGATTTGGGGAAAAAGGAAAAAGGAAAAAGGAAAAAGGAGAAAATGGTTAAAAAAAAAAAAAAAAAAGATTGAGTGGGCGGGGAAGGTGTAAATGGGAAAACGGCAGTAGGTGCTGGAGTTGAAACGTATAAACGCAAGTGGAGATCCATAGCCAGCTGTTCCGTGTTTTGCGAGTCGCGACGCGAGCCTCTCTCTTCTCACCCGTCTCCCTCTCTGCTCATTTTCGCTTTGGAGAGAGAAGTCTAGCCAGGAGAGACTAGAGAGAGAGAGAGAGAGAGAAGCCACTCTCTCTCGCGTCTTCCAAAACCCTTTCGTCGTTTTCCTACTAATAATGTGTGCTAATCTCTTGGTTTGAGTGTTGTCTGTGTTGATCTCCTTCCTGATCTGCTGCTTCTAATTCGCTGCGCTGAATTCCCGCCTTCTGCATTGTGATCAAACACTATCCTATAAGTATATCCCATCCAATTCTCTTCTGAATTCCTAGTTTCACTTTGGTTTTCTTCTTCTCTTCCCGGAAAATAGGATTTGAATGTTTATTTGGTTTCATTTGTTGTTGATCTTTAATGTGTGCGTGACGTATATGTTATACATTGTGTTGACTTTTTTTTTTTTTTTTTTTTTCCGGTTGATTTCAAATGACGGTTGACACAGAGGGTTCTGTGTTTCCGGAGGCGGGAATTGAACTCTGGACTGGATATGGATTCCCACCAGGATCTAACCAGTGTCGGTGCAGAAGGTGACGAGGCTAACCGTGTTGTCGGTGCTGAAACTAACGCCAGTGACATGGATGATTTAGAGAATTCCTATGTCTTTGTCAATGGAAGTGAAGGTACGACTGATGATCCTGGTGTTAATGAACTCGACGTTGATGTGCCTGGTGCCTCGGCTGAAACCGAGGTTGTAGAGGATTTTACTGTCAGTGGGGATTTAAGCAAGTCCTTTGAAGAGGAGAGGCATGGTTCTCTTCAAGGGATTGGGGTCTTCCTCTCGACCACCGAGGGTGAGGTTTCTGAGGATTGTTTGGCTGGGAAAGAAAACGTGGATGGAACCCAAGTTACTTCTAATGGTTCAGTAGAGAATCAAATCGAAGATGTTGAGTCACAAAAATATGAGTGTAGTGTTGAGTCCAAACCGCAGACCATTGATTTGAAGTCCTCATATGTGACCTCTCAGGATCAGGTTGATTTGAGGTCCTCATCTGTGGACTCCGGAGATGCCAACCAAGTAACTCAGGAAATTATTCTAGATTCAGTTATTGACCTAGTTGATTTAGATTCGGCCACTGAGCAAAATAATATAGATTTGACCGTAGATCAACATAATTCAGATTCAGATTTGACCCTAGATCAACATAATTCAGATTCAACTGTCGGTGTAGAAAATGCAGATTCAATCACTGAACAAAATAAATTAGGTTTGACAAACAATATAGATTTGACAATTATTACTGTGGAGGGCCAGAACAATCAGCACGTGGTTGTGGATGCTGCAGAATGTGACCCTGATAAAACTGACCTAAAGAAAGGCAATTATGTAGACCAAACTTTACAGCCTTGTGATGTGTTAGAAGAGGGAGAGAAATGTACAATGGCTCCTATGGATGATTTTGAATGCAAATCCCAACATGCCAAGCCAGAGGTTGGGGAGGTAAATGAGCAGCAGAAATCTGAGGTAATGGCAACTGAAATAGTGGAGGATGGTGAATCATACACCCATGTTAATATTCCTGTGGAGTCAAATTCTTGTGAACTTGATCATGAAGGGGAGAACCTTGAGAAGGAATCAAGTAAAGGTTTCAGTTCTGATGCAAATCCAGAACTTGAAAGGGTTAGAGTTGACCAGGGGCACGAGATGGAAAATGTAGTGAATGAGAAGCACACCTCCTTGGAAGCAGGGGGAGGAGCCATTTCGCTTGTTTTATGTGATAAGCAAGTTAGTGTACTTGTATCTCATGCTACAGACCATGTTTCTCAATTAGAAGAAGGTGGTGGAAAAATTGATGTTTCTGAAAGTTCCCATGAATTCAGTAGATCTTCTGAGGAAGCCAATATCATGGGCACTCCTGCTGCTTGTGTTATGAATGAAGGTGACACCAGAGGAAAACCGATTGATACTACAGACCATGTTTCTCAGTCAGAAGATGGTAGTGGGCAAATTGATGTTGGTGAAAGCTCCCTTGAATTGAGCAGATCTTCTGAGGAAGCCAAGATCATAAGTTCTCCTGCTGCTTGCATGATGACTGAAGGTGACACCACAGAAAAACCAATTGATACTACAGACCATGTTTCTCAATCAGAAGGTAGTGGACAAATTGATGTTGGTGAAACCTCCCATGAATTTAGCATATCTTCTGAGGAAGCCAAGATCATGGGCGCTCCTGCTGCTTGCATGATGAGTGAAGGTGACACCAGAGAAAAACCAATTGATACTACATACCATGTTTCTCAATCAAAAGAAGGTAGTGGACAAATTGATGTTGGTGAAAGTTCCCATGAATTGAGCAGATCGTCTGAGGAAGCCAAGATCATGGGTGATCCTGCTGCTTGCATGATGAGTGAAGGTGACACCAGAGAAAAGCTAATTGATGATACAATTGGAAAGGTGAGTGAAGATTGTGAAAACAGGTATGGGGCTTCTCCGTCTACAGAAAGCATTTCTGTTCAAGATGCTGAGGTCCTGGAACCTAGGAGTTGTGATGAACACGTTGTATCTTCAGTTGCTGATGGCAGTTGTGCACTTGTTATGAACTCTTTGGAGAATGACACAAGCCTGGGAACTGAATTTGGGATTCAAAACTCTGCATCAGAAGAAGTGTCTGCATTGGCTGGCGAAAGTTCTCTTCATGATTCAAAATCAGAAAATCTTGACTTAGAAGCTGCTGTAGTGGAGAGCAAGTTTCTTGGTCATGACAGCATATCAAGTTGTTCTCCCACAGATTCAAGCTCTAAAACCACATTTAGCCTGTTGACTGACAAATCTGAACAGAAAGTGCAAGGTGGAACTGAAATTTCAAATGAGGGTGCTGAGCTTGCTCATGGCCAATGTAGTTCAACTGTTGTACAATTATCTAAAGTTGGGAACTCATCTACTTCAATCAATAGGGACATGCATGGTGATGATACTCTTGAATCTGGACTGGAATCTCTGAAAAGCTCTTTTGATAACAATGGCAGTCCACCAAACCACACTAAAAACTTGGAAGTTCAATGTAATGGTTCTGAAAGAAGTAGTGAAGACAATTTGGTGTGCCAAGAATTTGTGGTTGCTGACAAATCTTTGTGCAATGAAACATTGGATATTTTGCTGGAAGGTTCTTCAGCTAATGTTGCTGGACAGGATGCTAGTACTGGGACTTTTGGAGGCTTGAAAAAGCCATTCCAATTCCTGATCAAGATGCCAAGGTTTGATGATGAAAAGCTTAGAGAGCAGATCAGACTTGCACAGCTACATGTTGATGAGAAGACCCAAAGTAGGGATGCTATTTGGCAGGAAATAAAAAAGAAGAGAGTAAGATTAACATCTTAAAGGTTTTTCAATTTTTTGTATGCATTGCGGACATGGTTTGAATTGTGGGAGTCTTTTGTGCAGGCCAATTGCCAACATCATGGTGTTGAATTTGAAGCTGCCAAATCAGAAGAGAGAGTTGCACGCAAGCTGGTTAGGTCAAAGCGTGCTGAAATTGAGCATCTTCAAACTGCAATTAATAGAGTGAAGAATGCACTTTCTGTCGAGGAGATAGATGCAAGGGTAGGAATTCATCTCCACCCCTAACCCCTTCCCATTTACAGAATATTGGAGGATTATCACATTTGTATTCTGTTTTTAATATTTTACATAACTTACTCTTGGCTACAGATATGTAGCATGGAACACATGATAGAGCATGAAACTCTTCCTTTAAAGGAGGAAAAGAACTTAATTCGCGAAATTAAGCAGTTGAAGCAGCTGCGAAATCAATTATCCTCTAACATAGGTAGCTGTGATGAAGTCCAGCAGGCTCTGGACAATAGAGACCAAATTGAAGAGAGCTTAAAGGTAACACACTGAAATACTGAAATTCTATTCAATATGTTGCAGTCTGCACCTTCAGCAGGAATCCTATATTCCTATTCTGAGTTTTCATGTTTTTTTCATTCATTAGTTAACACCTTTAACTTGCATTTACCTGACTTTAATGTTTGCAGATTTTGAAAAAAGAGCTCGATAGCCTTAAAAACAAGGTATCAAAAGCTGAAGCAGTTGCTGTAGCAGTAAGCTTGAGATATGAAGAAGAAAGCAAAATGCACAAGGAATTGCGAGCTCAGTATAAGGCTGCTAATGAAATTCGCCAAGCAGCATACGGAAACTTGCAGAATTTGAAAAAGATACTATATGAGAAGGTTAGTAGTAATATTTTGAGGTTGAAGTTTAGCTTATTCTGTGATTAACAAGTTGTGGAACATGCTGAGTGAACACTTCAGAACTTGTTATACTTTTGGCTATTCTTTTAATAGTGACTAGATGGTTGTTTTCTTATCCCTGTGGGAGGTTGGAACAAAATATCTGTACTTTGTTAGGAGAATTGCTTTGCTAGTGATTATATGGCATATTTGCCCCTTCAATGGAGTGTTTACCAGAATGAGTATCTTGCGTGACTATTAAAGAATACACCTAGGTATAAAAGTCTGCAAAGTTAATGAACTCTATGTTCATTGTCATTTTTTTTTTGTAGCTTCATTATTATGTTTTTAAATGGTTAAGGCATAAATACAACTTTTAAACCAAGTATCTTCTTTGAGAACTTTATGTGCCTGGCCTAATGGTTTAGGGTATGAACTTTGAAGGATTTTCTCTTATATGAAACACAAAAAAAAAAAAAAAAAAAAAAAAAAAAAAAAAAAAAAAAAAAAAAACTATAGTGAGTTAGTGACAAACTCCAAGTTATGGTTTTTATTTTTTTTTTTATTTTTTGGTGCAAAATGGAAGAACTTGGTGACGCCTATTGTTACTCTCGATAAATGTTTATGCCAATATTTTGTAGCAACTAAAATTAAATTCTTCTGGAACTGTAGAACAACCATTTCCGGATGTACAAGGATAATGCATCAACAGCTAGTCGTCATGCTGCACACAAAGACACTGAAGCTCTTCATCATCTTTGTGCCAACCAGGTTGGTTAATTCATTTCCTTGGTTGGTCATCTTTTAGAATAATGTGACAACTAGAAGTTTTAATTTTTTGTTAATTCATTTCTTTGGTCATCTTTTAGAATAATGTGACAACTAGGAGTTTTAATTTTCAGGTTGAGAAATATATGGAACTCTGGAATCGGGATGATGAGTTCCGCCAGGAATATGTGAGGTGCAACATGAGGAGCACAGTTAGGAGATTGGGAACATTGGACGGTCGTCCTCTTGGCCCTAATGAGGATCCACCTGTTCTCCCGGTTTATGTAGCTGAAAGAACTGATAGAGTGATTTCCCGTACATCAAAAGTTGATTTTGTCTCCCCAACTTTGCCACTGCAGCAAGAAAAACAAGTAATGCTTATCAAGGATGAAGACATAGCCAGAAAGCCTATGGTGAAAGGGACAGGACAAAAGACTGAACGAGAGAGGAAAACTAGCGCAGTGAAGTCTAATTTGGAGAGTGCAGACAATGTATCTAGTTGGGACGTAAGCAATGACGTGAAAAGAGAAGACATTCAAATTCAAACAAAGGAGGAATTGGAGTTGGCTAGGAAGGAAGAGGAAGTTAAAAGGCTGGAGACTGCTGCTAGACTGAAAGAGCAACGCCGGTTAGAGGAGATTGCCAAGGCTAAGGAGGCACTGGAAAGGAAAAAGAGAAATGCAGAGAAGGCCCAAGTGAGGTCAGAATTACGAGCTCTGAAGGAAGCAGAACAAAAAGAGAAGGTGGGGTGAAGCTTTTAGCATCATCTTTGTGCTATTTATATTTGTTCTAACATGAAATGAAAATTAAAAGGCGGGCTTGTGTGTTTGTTTGTATGTCTGAATGGATGGATATATGTAAACGCACATATGTTGTTCTGATTTTGTGTTTTATCTGTACAGGAGAGAGAGAAAAGATTGAGAAAGAAGGAAAAAAAGAAGGGCGGTGGCAGCGAAGCTGCTAATGAGAGCGAAAATGTTTCATTCTGTGAGAGCATAAAAGACGTTGTGAATGAGGCTGAAACAAAGGAGACTGAGGAGGGTGGTAAGAAAACTCAAAAGGCCCCTCAGTATGCAAAACAAAACACAACAAAGTCTATTCCTCCACCACTTCGAAACAAGAATAAGAAGAAAATGCAGCAGTGGATGCGGATAATTTTCACATCCATTATCGTCATCGCTTTGTTCTTGCTGGGAAACATTGGCTTCTTTGCCAATCTTAAGAGCCGCCAAAATGTCTTATAATCTTGCTTTCCTAGCCGGAATGGGGAGTTTTGGTGTGGGATATTCTTACTTGCATCTGGAATTTTAGTTTTATTTTATGTTTTGTTAGAAAAGAAAATTATTTGAACGACTTATAGAGTGGGGTTGTGTATTTTGCAGAATGAACAACAGCAATAACATTACATTACATCATGATTCTGTAATACTTTGTAGATCCCTATTCCCTTGGATAATCTATTGAATAGGCAGATGGGTATATAGTCACTTGGATAAAGTCAAACCAGTGAAATCAAAACTAAGCTGTCATTGAAAGTTTATTTAAGAGGCAAGGAAAGCATATTCTTTTGAATGAATTTCAAACTTTATGGTTATTTAATCTCTGTTTTTTTTTTTTTTTTGATACTTAATCTCAGCTTTTTTAAAGCTAAGTATTTTAATTTCTTAATTTTAGTCATACACACAGACACGCAGAGTTAAATTTTAGAGGAAAAATCACTGTTGCTTTATCGGAATTCTTTGAGTGATTTGGAAGAACTCATGCATCTATAATTAGTCATACGTGAATATATTTATCAGTTCACAATTATATTTATCGAATTGTTTGGTGGGCTACCTTGTTGCTCATTAACGTCAAACTAGTAAACACTCTAAAGAGCTTCAATGTCTTCAAGTTGTTTTTAACTCTTCAAGTATCTTCAATGTCTGAAAAAATGTAATTTTCACCTTATAACAAACTCACTCAATATTTATCTAATAAATAATTATTTATTTAGGATAAATACTAAGAGTTTATCCAAAATGAATTCTAACATAATCATGTTTAGGTTCGACATTCTATTATTATATTTGAATTTAATTATAATTATTAAATTCAAATATAATATAACTATAATATCTTAAATAATAATATTTAATTTGACTAAATTTTTATCAAATAATTAAATTAATTTGACAAGTAACATATTCTAAATTGATTTAACTAATTGATGTATACATTTGAATAACTTAATTAAAATGTGATTCAATAGTCAATTTAATTCCATCAAAATTTTCATATTTACAATAACTTGTCACACAAAAGAGAAAGTAGTAGAATTAAGATTTGAGAATATGTGTAGTAAAACTCATTTGTTTTTCACTTGATTGCGAGATGGGAAATGGATGTGTTGTCTACTCCTCATGCTTGCTTTTGAGCATATGACTGAATGTGAAAATCGTACCACCCGATCTGTTCTCTTCTACCTACACAAACGTCTTTTCATATCTTACTTTATGTTTATACACACTATTTTATATTTCATAATAATGTGATATAGTTTGATTAGTTTAGAAGTTAAAAATAAATAAATAAATAAAGTAAGCACATTGTATTAATTCTTTTAATCAAAATATGTAACTAGAGTTTTACTTCTTGTGCTTCTTGTGTAGTCGTAACTCGTACGATTACTCATCATTAGCTACGCATAAATGCACCATAATGTGTTAAAAATGTATAATTATATGTGGTGTATAAAGCACATAATTTGTTGAACAAAAGAATTAAGAACTCAACATAATTGTACGATTACATCATGGCTCTACTAATTAATTAACTATTTAGCTCATTATATAGAAATAGAAAGTAAAAGTATACTCAAGTGTATCCGTAGAAAAAAATAATGCAAAACAGATAAAATAGAATTAAGATAAGTTGACATTTTCCTTCAAAAAAAAAAAAAGAAGAAGAAGAAGAAGATAAGTTGACATTAAGTTTGCTGCACCCTTTTTATTTATTTTATTTATTTATTTTTAAATTCCTACTTTAGTTCTTTAAACATTATTACTATTATTATTTTATTATTATTATTATTATTATTATTATTATTATTATTATTATTATTATTATTTTTTATCATGGGGAGGGATACCCTCAACCACCCATGTCTTAGGGGCATACCATCACCACGGATCACCCACTCTGTTGTATCCAAGCTAGCATAGAATTGCAGCAATGGGACACCCCAAAATTCACAATCTTCAGAGACTAATCAACACATAGACCTGACTAGCCAAAAAATTTACCACTTTATTTTACTCTCTATAAATACTCTTAATATATCCACGATACGATAGATCATAATCCACACAATTGTGTAGACTATAGTAAAAAAGTGTCGTATTTTTTTTAAGTAAAAAGAAACGGAAATGACGGATGTTACTAATTAATCTCGTATTTATTATGTGCTCAAAATAAAATGAAACTGAGCAACATGCATGTCTCATATATTGAGTGTACATTATTAAATGAAACTATGGTTGAATTAGATTGATATTTTAGTTGTGCTGTAATAAAATTAAAGTGTATCCCAAATGGAACTGAGTAACATGCATGTCTCATATATTGAGTATACATTGTCAAATGAAACTGTAGTTGAATTAAAATAATACTTTAGTTGTATTGTAATGAAACTTCAGTGTGTAACTGAACAACACGTCTCGCATATTGAGTGTATATTGTCAAATGAAACTGTTTTTATATCAAAATGATACTTTAATTGTGTTGTAATTAAGGCTCCATTTGAAAACAGGAAAATGACTTCTGGAAAATGAGTCATTTTCCATAAAACATTTTACTTTATGGTGTTTGGCTACACAACGAAAAACTGTCTTTGTGTGTTTGGTTCATTTTCCATAAAATAAGTAGGAAAATGAAAAGAATTGAATAATTTATATATATATATATATATATATATATATATATATATATATATATATATATATATATATATATATATATATATAACATTTTTAAAAATGTAACTTTTTTTAATTTTTAAATACAAAAAAATTAATATTATTCGTAGTTTTTTTTTGAACTTTGAATTAAAAAAAAAAAAAACAAAAAATCACAGACCGGCTCTTGGGCCCGTTAACCCGCATGGGGCGGGCTTTGATTGCATGAACCATAGCCTGCGGGTTTGGTGGGTCGCTTGCAAAAGCTCGCAAAAAATTAGGCCAAAAAATTTTGCATGTGCATCCCTTGGAAAATGACTTCCCCAAAAAAATGAGAAGTCATTTTCCCCCAAAACATACATATTTTCCTTTGACTAATGCATCATTTTTCATTGACCGCATTTTCCCCCCTCTTGCCAAACACTGAAAACTCGAAATACGGAAGTCATTTTTCGGATTTCCAAAGACACCTAAACTATAGTGTTTCTAAAATGAAACTAAATAACATGTCTCATATATTTAGTGTATAAGTTCAAATAAAATTGTACTTGAATTAAAATTATACTTTAGTTGTGTTGAATATAATAAAACTATAATCTATATATATATAAAAGTAAAATCCTCCTAACAAATTTTCCCCCCAAAATTTTTGTAGTAAAACTTATTTGGTAAGTAAATGTCAAATGGAAATTAAATAAATAATAATAATAATAATAATAATAATAATAATAATATAATCTATATCTATATCTATATATCTATATATATATAAAAGTAAAATCCTCCTAACAAATTTTCCCTCCAAAACTTTGTAGTAAAACTTATTTGGTAAGTAAATGTCAAATGGAAATAAATAAAATCTATTAATTGGTAATATTATATATGGTATTATATTCTATAATATAATTGATAATATTATTGTTCATGCATAATAAAAATATTATTGTTCAAATATAAAATAAAATTAAAATAATAATAATAATAACAAAAACAACAACAACAATAATAATAATAATAATGATAATAATAATGATATAATAATAATAATAATAATATAATAACAGTTTTATTATCAAATTTATTAGGAAAAATTATATTAGTAATATATTATTAATTAAATAATTAGGGAAAACCATTAGAACAATGCTGTAATAATATATTAGGAATGTACGTAGTTATACAATATATAGTAATTAAGGTTATTATTGTTAATTAAGCTAATTAGTGTGTAGTATTTTATATTTATATATAAAAGCAATACTCATACACAATGTATATGTATATGGAAGGCGTGTAGTAGTGGGTAGAAAGTAAATAATTGGAAGCTTTTACCTTTCTTAATATCTCTTACCATTTTATAATTTCAATACTAAGCTCTTTTGATCTCATCTATTGTGTATAAATACACCTTATATGATCATAGACAACTCATCAATTTCACAATCTCAACTAAGGTTAATTATTTCATTGACTTTTGCTAATTATCCTGTGATCTTCCACAATTGAGGTTGATACGTGATTTGCACGGGTGAAGTTTTCATTATCTTAGTTTCTTTTTTCTTTCTTTCTTATTGGGTTTTGTTTTGTTTTTTTTTTTGTTTTTTGTTTTTTTTTTTTTTTTGTTTTTTGTTTTTTTTTTTTTTTGTTTTTTTTGTTTTTGTATTTTTCGATTTTTAAACAAGAAAAGTGGTTCGTAAGAAAAAATGTTGATATATTCTTTTTTTTTTGTTTATTTTTGTAGAGAAGATACAGATCTATAAAGATTGATGGGGAAGCAATAGAGTTCCTTGCTCATCAAGTGGATAAAGTGGGGATGGACGGATTCTGTGTATATGTAAACAGATGCAAAGGGAAGCATGATAAGAATACACTAAAAATGAAAATAGTATTCAAAGCATTTTTTTTAGTTGTCAATTTGTCAAAGCGTTGGTCTTTCTTTTGATTCAATCTCTCCGTCTTTAAAGTGTACATTTTATGTAATAAAAGAGTAATTTATCTCTCCCTTCAAGACGTTTTGGCATTTTCGGCGGAATCAACACTGCGGAAGCAATCTTGACTTTGTCGGTGCGGAAGTTTGTTTTTTTTTTTTTTTTTTTTTTTTTGTTTTGTTTTGTTTTTTGTTTTTTTTGCAAATTTGAAGTTGGCATTACTTTGGATTAAATTAGTAGTTATTTTTATGGCGGTGGTGGAAGAAGATTTCTGTAGCAGTTCATGTTAGAGGGCGGTGGTTGAAGTTTGTGGGGATGACAACTCAATGAGAGTGTGGATCGTAAATATATGTGTATTAATTTTTTTTTTTGTATATTCACTACCATTTTTAAGATTCATATTTATATTTACATTCATATTAATATTGTATTTTCTTTCCTGCATAATTTTAGGCTTAGTTTGTTGATATATCAATAACATTGTTCAATCCCAGTGAATAAGGATTATTCCTTTGTTGTGTAGTACCATATTGAATTGCTATGCTATTCGATCCATTTTGAAGGTGAAAAAGGTATTTATCTTTATCCTAGAATCTAATTTTATGTTGTTTTTAACTTTA